TTTTTTTTTTTTTTTTTATTTTTTACATTTAGCCATTACTTTTTGAAACACAAACTTGACCTGGTCGACCCTTGTAGCAAGCTAACCCCACCAAAGGCGTAAAAATGGCCTTTTATTCTCAACGACAACTGAAAAATGAACGAAACACTGACCGTAGGTCTCGTGCGAGAAACCACCTTAACAGCATGCAAATAATCGATGTTCACGAAAGGCGAGAAAGCTAGGCTTAGGATGAAACAGCGGTGTAATCAATCAATATATACCTGGGTAAATCCATGTACATGTAGGACATACTGAAAACAGTATACATAAATACCAAAAAATTCAAATCTTTTGATATGATTTACACATCAAACCCGCCGAGTAATAACACCAAGCAATCCTGCATTGCCTTAATCCCATCTCAATAACTAACGCAACTTCATAGTCCCATTCCTGAACACAACATTCGTGTTCCGAACATGCTGGCCAACGGGCCCAGACGAAACACTCCACAGCTTATCCGAATTGGGCCGCACATAAGAACCCTTAACGACTGAACTCGCCTTCATCAATGGATGCTTCTTCTTCTTCCCCATCCCATTCGCCAGCAGCCATCGAGACCCAGACTTTTCCTGGTTCGCTGGGCCCCACACCTTCTTCAAGCCCGCCACAGCCACCTCCACGATCTCATACCGAGGTGTCGATTTTTCCATCTCGTCAATTTCGCCTTCGTCCTCGTCAGCATCCCCTGCCGGAGGGACCTCCCGGTAAATTCTAAACTTCGAGGGACCAAAAACCCTCCCGAATTGAATGAGGCTGAGCATGGGCCCGCCCACCGGCTCGTAATCCCTCAGTGGGTCCCGCAGCTGCACCGTGAGCGCGAGTGTCACGAGATCTTTGTGCTCGATTTTTCCAGAGTCGAATCTCGTCCACTCGTCAAGCCCGTTGTCATTCTTGATGTCGAGCAAATCGAGTCCACCTGTCGAGTTTGAGGTTTTCGTTTTTTGCAGGATCTTGGATTGGGGTTGCCTGTGATAGAGGATAAATAACTATATGAATCCTAATTACCAAGAAATCACGATTATCTGACAACTCATTGAAATTAGTTATTTCATTTCTCTTTCGCATAGGCATAGCTCAAATACACAAAGCATAATGTGTTGATCGAAAAGTGGACATCTTCAAAGCTTAAAGCCCAGACCTCAAGAGTAGTTTTTTATTTCTAAATTTTTGTAATTATCTCTAGAAACAATATGGCTAGTGCTAGCAAGTCTCTCACTCTCTCTCAAGTATCAAGTATCAAAAATAACGACAAACCTCTCGGCGGGCCCCACGACACGTTGACCAGCCTCCCACGCTATCCGGTGGATAGTACTGCCTGTTATGTCCTCCAATGGCATAAGTCTATTTGCCTGCACGGAAAGCTTCTCGATCCCCAAACCCGCCAAGCCCCGAAGCACATCCATCACGTTGCAACCCATCTCCACCGGCACCACCACAGGACTCGACACCTGCATGACAAGGCTCCCTCCATTCCTGCCGTTCGGAAAAAACCCAGGACTCATCGAGCGTAAAAAACCCCCATTTTTCGTCCGCACAAACGGGCCCACACCCTCGGCCAGCGGCGGAAGTCTGCAAACCTTGTTCGGTGGGTGAAAGTCAACCGAACTCTCGAGTTCGGGCTTTTCTTGGATAATGTCGTGTTTTAATGATGACTCGTCGTCCCAAACGAGATCGTTTTCGATTTCGAGATCGAGTAGGCCTCCATGCGCAAGTGCATCCTTTTCGAATTGCTTCAAGAGGCACTCCCTTGGAGACTCGGGCTCGCTTTCGGAGCCCGAGCCCGACGGGCTCCAGTCTATGCCCAGCATATTCAAGAAATCATTAGCCACCGAATCTATCAGGTCATCCGAGACGGGAAGTTTATCTAACGAGTCTTCTCTTTGCAGAGCATCGTTTTCGTCTTCTTGAGAATCTAACCCGTCGTTGACTAGCTCTGTGGCGTAACTCAGCGCTGTTTCCAGATCCTTCATTAGCGATTCCTTTGAGCACACATCATCGTTCTCTTTCTCCTCAGAGTCGAGGCCTCTAATTTCCGATTGCTCGTCTTTCGGGACAACAGTTTCCACTTCTACCCCCTTCTCCACAACAGAGAACTCGCTAATTCCCCCCTCGGCTTCACAAACCTTCTCACCTGCAGCATCTGAAGAAAAACAATCCAAATCCAAACCCAAATTATTCTCCACCAACTTACCATAATCCTCTTCCACAGGTAAGACCTCGTGAAGGTCCTTCACGTCCTCCGAGGGCTGGTCAAACGTCGACAGCCTGGCAGGGAGACTCTCCACCCTGCGAATCACACTCAGCTCACCCGTCAAGTCAAACGGGTCAAAGAGGGCCCGCGGGCTCTCAGGCACGCTGTGATTACTGTCTCCCCCATTCTCAACCACTGCATACCCAAAGCTGACGTGGACTGTGGCCCCTCGGGCCTTACCCGAGAGCCCGAAGCTCGTCGTCCATTTCCCGGAGCTCTTTTCATTCTCGAGCTCATCGAGCGTCAGAGGAAGCAGGCGAGTCACGTCCACACGATGTCGGCCCAAGTCAAGATCGGGCGAGTTGTACACAGACGCGTACAGAAGGAAGTTCTTGGGCTCATATCGGGCCGAACGGTGGGGTCCACTTCTATTTCCATAAACGATGCATGAGTGTGTTAAATTCTCTTCTAACTGGGCCACGCCTTGATGGGCCCGTACGGGCCGGGTCATGAGGTCCCCATCTTTACGCCTCCAATGGACAACCAAAAAGGCATCGTTTAGAATGGTGGGAAGGCCCTCGATTTTGTGGACGAGCAGAGAGAAGGAGCAGTTGAATCTCCGGGCTCTGGCATTGGTGAGGGCCTTGAGGCCTTTCCAGGTCCAGAGAGAGGGCTTTTTCTCCTTCTCATCTTTCGGGTCCTTACATTTGGGTTTTGGGTCGGGCGGACGAGGAATCTCGACGGTTTTGGGCCGGGTTCGAGCCTTCGGGCTGGATTCGGGCTTATCCGAGTGCAGGGCTTCGGTTATGATTTTGAGGTCGGTTGTGAATTTTCCGGTTCCTGAATCGGCGGCGGCTTTGCTGTTTGATTTCGAAAACATTGTCTCCTCACAATCTGCAAGAATGGATTTTTATGTTTGTTTTTGTTTTTTTTTTTTTCGGCCGAGATTGCAAATTTTCATCACAGAAATTGCGGCATAATCTTGAACGGAGAAGGAGAAAGATGCCTGAATAACTCTATAATCTTATAAGTATTTCCTAACGTGGGATTCTGGAAAAATCAATAAAATTGAGCAATACAAAATGAATGATATGTTGATTCATGAGTTTTATGCTGTTGGAAAGAAAGAAACGAATCGATTTTCACAGAAAAGATATCAACTTGGCAGTATTCTTAAACGTATACAGCATTAATCTACATAAAACCTTAAAATTACAGAACTTGACCAGAAAAATTAGAGGGATTTGAGAAGAACCTTACAGCTAAGAGCATTTAGGAATTTGGGGGCGAACCTTGGTGCTCTTAGAATGTCAGGAGCCCCTCTCTCTCTCTCTCTCTCGGTCGCTCTCTCAGCCGTAACCGTGTTCAATTCAAACTTTATGTACGAAATGTTGATGATTTTCACTTGGCGCCCTTATTTTATCATAAATATCTCTTTTTCCCTAAATATATTTTAGGGACATAGTGAAAAGTCAATTTTTGGTAAAATGAATTCATTCATTCTTTTGTGTCCACCTTTTTTATTTCGTCATTAGTACAAACACCCGTGTATTACACGGATGCTTGTTAATTTTTTTTTCTTAAAATTTAAAATTAATAAGTAAAAGTGGTTGAAAATTTAAATACTCTTTATAATATATATATATATATATATATATATAGGGTTAATTGCATTTAAAATCATAACATTTTGTTTAATTGCAAATAAAACTCAATATTTTCAATTCGGCAAAAAAATACCAAACCTTTCATAAGTATTGCAATTGTGTCTCAAAATCAGTTTCCGGCCGCCAATCACCTTCCGCCGCCGCCGGACCGCCTCCAACCGCCACCCGCCGCCGGCTAACTTCGCCGGATGTTGAAAATTTTTACATGATCTTGTAGCTCTCCTCCGTGCCGACAACATATCCGAGTTTCACGAAAAAATTCTGACGATAAGTCTTCCAATTTTCTGGTCAAAGCTCGTAGATCTACAAAGCCGCATCTAGTGACGTCCACCTTCGCCGGAACCGGTGACTTTTTCTGGTGACGACTTTTCCGGTCATCTTCTTCACAAATTTCCGGCCGACCTCCACGACGTTCTCTCTCCGGCGAGCTTCCCCCAGCCGCGAGCTCGACTTCCAGCAACTTCCTTCGATAGCAACTGTGAGCTCCATTTTCGACAACCCTCTCTGCACAGCCGTCCCCGAGCTCGTTTTTCCGGCGTGCCTTGGCCGAAAACTGATTTTGAGACACAATTGCAATACTTATTAAAGGTTTGGTATATTTTTGCCAAATTGAAAAGTTGAGTTTTATTTGCAATTAAACAAAAGGTTAGGATTTAAAATGCAATTAACCCTATATTTTAGTATGACACTTGTTACTTGTGTGACTTACATGTGTTATATAATAATAATTTTTCTAACTTATAACATATAACTACATTAAACATAAATATAATTGAGAAATAATTTTATTTTTATAATTACTGCTTTCAGTTTGCACTTTTGTGCGCCTTACTTATAATA